CACCTGCAAGGTAGCCAGGCCCATCCACTGCTGCCACACCATCTGCGGGCCGGGCCGGGGCCAGCTGCCGCGCAGGCGGTGGGGTAGGGAGAGTGGGAGAGGGCGCGAGGCCTGACACCCCTCGGCAGCACGGCCCGGCCCTGCGCTCCGGCAGCGTCTCCCTTGGAAGCGGCCCCTGAGGCGGCTTCCGAGGCTGAAGGCATTGGGAGCAGCCCCGGCCAGACGCACACGTGGGGGGTTCCTGTTCGCCCCGCGGGCTGCGTGTCAGCAACGTGCGCCCCTCTGCTGCTGGCTTGGCGCCCAGGCCTCGGCATCCCCATTCAGTCGCCACCTCGGCAGCCTCTGCGTTGCGCTGGGCGCAGAACGTGGCCCCGGGACGGGACCGTCTCCGTGGGCAGGTTGTGGCAGGACTGGCCAACGCGGGGCAGCTCAGTGTGTCTGCCCTGAGGTGGCTGATTCCCGGGGGGCTGAGGCGGGGCCCGGGGGCAGCATGGCTGGCTCTGCTTCCCTGCCCCTGACTCTACGCTTGCGTCCAGACGCTCATTAGCTTCTCAGGGGAGCCGGGCTCTCACCAAGCGGCTCCTCCCAGCACTGGCCCGGGGGGGAGCAGGATGTTGAGGGCCGGTCAGTGGGGAACAATCCTGCTATTGAGCAAGCTGGGCCCGGGGGCTTTCCTCCATCCTGTTTGGGGCAATACGGCCCCTCTCCCCCCGCCCGCTCAGCTACTGAGGCTGTGGCTTTGCCCAGGGCGTGTTTCGGCAGCACGGCACAGTCTGCAGCCCCCAGCTGGGGGGCTGCCCTGAGGCTGGACAGTTGCCCTTCTCCCAGACAGGCATTTTGTCCCAGCTCCAAAAGGGAGTTGGGACCCACTGCAAGCAATGTGAGTTAGGCGCCTAAATACCGTGGAGCGTGTGGATTATGCAGCTCACAACTGCCCACCCCAACAGCCTCTACGGCCCAGCCCCTGTACTGGGGCCTTTGGCTTCCCTTCGCCACTGAGCCGGCGCTCCCCCGGCAGCCTTCTCCAGTGTACTGCCTGGACCAGCCGTTCTAGTTCACCTCCCCGTGCTGTGCCGGGGCAGTGTGGGCTAGTGGGCGAAGCCAGGGCTGGGCGCTCGCAGGCGTGGGGTGGGGCCCTGGCTCTAGGGCTGCCTTGCTGTGCGACCCGTACCTGCAAAAAGGGCCGAGACCCCTCGCTGCTCCCAGGGGTTGTCAGGCGCAGGCTAAAACCGAAGGCCAGGCCATCACTGCAGCGCGCGAGGGGGAAAAGCCCTTCCAGGAACACGCAGGCTGCTTGGCTCAGTCGTTCCGGAGGCTGTGCGGGGCCGCGCACCTTCCCAGCACGCGCTTCGGCCTTCCCTCCTGGTGTGCCTTGAAGGCAGCGGACACGCCAGTGCCAGGCCCAGGCGGCTCGCGTCCTGGGTGAGGACAGGCGGCCCTGCGTTGCCCTGCGTGTCAGCACGTCTTGGGCGGCCGCACACCCTGCAGGGCCCAGTCGCATCTGGGCGGCAACCCCCCTCCATGGCTCAGTTCTATAAACCTGGGCAGGGAGGAATTTGGGGGGAGCCCTCATGCCGCAATGGGCTGCGCCCATACAACCGTCAGCCAATCACCCCGCATTTTATTGTGAGACACAACCCTGCTAAGCAACGTTCCCGCCACGGGTAGGTTTTTTCCCATCCATGTGTGGAATAACATTTGTGTGCGCCCTGAGGCACGTGTGATGGGCACCACCCTGAGAAACAAAACACTCAGCTGGGGGCGCTCTGCTAATCAGCTGGGCGGCCTGCGAATCGCTCCTGAGCGGCCCCACAACCCCCCCGCCTACTGCTGCTCAGCCTGCGTCCGAGGGCCGTTGAACCGGGCTGACTGCAGACGGGCAGTGCCAAGCGGGGCTGAGCGCCCGCGGCCGCACGCTCCCATGTGCCAGAGCCCCACAGCGGCGTGTCTGCCCGGCGGGTTCCTTTGCCCGCCCCCATGTGCCATTGCGCCCTCGCAGGCCGTGGGCAGG